CCCTCCCTTCCTTCTTCCCTTGTTTTTTTTTTTGTTCGTCTTTTGAGACAGGATTTCTCTGTGAAACAGTCCTGGCCATCCTTCCTAGAGGACAGCCATATGCGTCGGTCTCTGAGCTTCTGTGTGGGTTGCTGCGTGCCTCTTTTTATCAAGGTCTCATTGTCTACACTGACATCACTTTATAGTAAGACTGGGCATTGCATACTATGAATTCTGAATCTTGCATTTCTGTTACCAAATTGTTTTGGCTATTTTAGTTTCTTCATCTTTGGATATATGTTTTAAAATTAGCTTAAAAATGGTTATTCTCTCTCCAAAACCAACCGCAAAGACAAACAGAACAGGGTCTATCCAGTCTAGAATTTTCATTGGAATTGCAATGGATCTATAGATACATTTTTAAACTTCAAACTGTTTCATTATAACAGTATCTAATATAGTTCATTTATTTAGGCCCTCTTTGATTTATTTAATCAATATTTATCATATATTTATTTAGATTTATATTTTAATATATTCTTTGTAGGTTTTTCATTATCAAACTCAGGGGAGTCCCTTCTACTCCTTATTTGTTGAGTATGTTTATAATTAGTAGATGCTTATTTTTTCATTTTTCCAATATTAGTTTATGGTGGTTATTTTTGTCATATGAATTTGTTTGTACTACCTAATGGTCTTTAATGAACAAATGCTTACTTTAAAATTATCTAGGAAGGAGCCTCATTAGCGCAGTAGGTAGTGCATCAGTCTCATAAAATTATCTAGGAACCAACCTAGATGTCTGTAAACAGATGAACAGATACTGGAAATATACTATACATATAAAATGGATTATTCAGCTCTAGAGAAAAATGAAATCATCCAATTTGTAGGATAATAGATTGAGTCAGAATGTATGATATTAAATGAGGTCACTCAAAAACACAGAAAGAAAAAGAAACACACTCCCTTATATGTGGTGCTGACCTATAGTACATACTTGAGTGTATGTAAAGAACCTTCAGCATCGGCATAGTAGAGCACCCCTTCAGCACTGGTATAGTAGAGCATCCCTTCAGCACTGGTATAGTAGAGCATCTAGAAAGGAGACAAAAGAAGATAATATGAGGTGAGAAGGGGGTGGAATTCAGGTAAGGGGCACATGATCATGAAAGAGAATATAAAGCTAATTGGTTTTCTAGTTTCAAATGTGTCATCTTTTGTTTTTCCTTTTCATGGCAGACATGCGTAAACATGTAATTGACAGCTAGAGTGAAAACCTTAAGTGAAATTCCATTTCCTCAAGTGAAATGGCCATTCTAGCTATGTGGAAGTTCACTGGTGTGAATAGAGTTTGGGACTGGGAAAGTACGTATTTGAGTGGTTACCTTGATCTACCTATGTGATGTTTTCATTTGTGTGCTCATTAGAACATAGATATTTCAAAAATAAAATAGGATCAGAAAATCCAGAGAGAAACAAATGTGAAATCACTACCACTTACAGGCTCAAGTGTTCAAGATTATATGTATTTGCTTTTGTAAAACATGGGTCTATATGGTAATATGTGTCCTATGAGCAGTGCTTGAATAATTGCATTTATGAAGACTTCAGTTAAAATTGTATATGTGATAAATTCTCATGAAATTAAGTATTATTTTGAAATAAGAATTGTTGACCACAGTAGCTAACATGTAATATAGCTCCAAGCAGGGTTGTTCTGAGTATCAAATAATCAGAAGAACTCTGTGATAATACTACTGCTTCCTTCCAGGAAGGCAGATTAAAGAGCCAAGGCACAGAGTAGATTAGTGCAAATTCCTGAAGCCGTGCAAGTACAGGAGAGTAGGTCTGTCTGGGCTGTCAGTGTATTTGCAGAACCCTTCCTTCCTTCTTTCCTTCCTTCTTCCATCCCTCCCTCTCTCCCTCCTTCCCTCCCTTCCTTCCTTCCTTCCCTTTTTTGTGATACAAAAAAAGCTTCATTTCTTTGAAGAATCTTTCATTTCATCATTTATTTATTTATTTAAATGTGTGCATGGTGTCTGTGCACCAGTGTCTATGGAGGTCAGAGGACAATTTGCAGAAGTCAGCTTTCCTACCTTATGGATTCTGGCATGGGATTCAGGTCATCAGGCTTAGCAGCAGGTGCTCTTACACACTGAGCCAACTTGCTGTCTCAATATATGCAACTTGAGTCGCCTAAGCCTATCTTCACATAAGAACACATTGCTTGACGGACAGTGTAAGGAAGGCACGATGTGCCTTGCAAATCCCTCTCTCACCTCCTTTGTGTCATGCCTATGCATTTTATGAATGTATTTTTTTAGTCACAGAATATGGTTACACTTTAGTTTTTATAGGTAGTTGTCTTTTAAGAAATTAAAAATAAAATGCTTTATTTATCTTTATACTGTATCTAGTACTCCTTGCTTGTCTATCTGGTGCTGTGTTCCTTTCACCTGCAGGAGTTTCTGGTGCTTTCCTTACAATGTGTGTCCTTGATAATAAACTCAGTTTTCACTTCTTTGAGAAAGTGTTTTTTTAAGCTACTTATTTTGCTTCTTCTTTTGGGATGATGTCTGACTGTGTATCCAAGCCTGGCCTTGAATTACGTCAACAACTGTTCTGGCTCAGCCTCCCAAGTACTAGGATTACAGGTGTGCACCCTTACATTAACAAGACAGTTTATGTTTCTACTGGATTCCTGGAATTATATTTTGGCTATGCAGAGAATTCAGGTTTTATCACAGGGTTTTATCCAAGCACTTTAAAAACACGACTTGCCTCTGGTTTGCACTATTTCTGAGATATGTGCAGTGATTCTCTTTACTTCCCTGTCCATCTAATACAATCTTTGCATATTTTGAATGCACATCCTGCCTCTCCAGCAGCTCTCACGACAGTTCCTTCCTCTTGGTTTTCAGCTCTTGAGCGTGCTCTGTGGAGTGGACAGTGCCTTGTAGTTACTCCATGTTTTGCTTTGTAAATCTGCGTCTGTTCATTCATACTTTGCTGGTGTGTATGTCTGTGTGAAGGTGTCTAATTCCCTGGAACTGGAGTTACAGGCAGTTATGAGTTGCTGCCATGTGGGTGCTAGGAATTGAATCCGGGGCCTCTGGAAGAGCAGCCAGAACTCTTAACCACTAAGCTATCTCTCTAACCCTGTATCTGTGTCTTAATAGCTCCCAATAACTGAAGAAAATTCTTAGTTATCATTTTCTCAGAACATTTTTTTCCCTGCTTCACTATTCTCTCTTCTCACTAAAGGATTCTGGTTACACATGTGTGTGCTGATCCATTTGATTAACATATACACTCCCACATTGTCAGGATGACATTCGTATACTTGTATTATCTGACTTAAAATCACTGCAGTTTCAAATTTAAAATAAAATTAAAAGTTACTAAAATGCTTTAAGAGACTGTTCCTATTGTATTGCCTCTAGAATATCACCTTCTAAGCATTTTGTGTACAACATTTCAATGTATACAAAAATAAATATATTTCCTTCCCACTCAGACACATACACATGTATAATTAAAAGAATGTGTGGTTAATAATATACTTGTTATTTCACTTAATACAGGTCATCTTGTCATGTAGTGATATATATTTACACTGATACTTCTCATAACATTGTATTCTAGAGTATGGATGAGATCCTTATTTGAGAAACAAATCTACTATTGATGGGGCACTTATGGAATTTTAATTTGCAACCAGCAAACAGTGTTGCAACAGGCATGGGTTACATATATTTGTATTGCAAATACTATATTAACATTTCTAGATGAGAATCTACTGAGCCATGTCCCAAGAGGTATCATTTGTGGGTTTACAGTGGAAGGGAACACTTAAGGGGAGAAGGGCATGAAGGCCAGCCAGAGCTGGGAATACTTTGAAATCCGGAGGGAGGTATCTGCAGGCTGATCACTCTGTTAGAGCCTGGGGTGTGTGGAGCGTGAACTAGGACAACTGCATTGGAAGATGCCAGGCTAGAGTTAGTGCTGAGCTTTGATGGTGGGATCGTGGTCAATGCCTGTGCCTTCTCCCAAATTCTGCGGTCTACAATCCTCAGTGTGAGTTTCCTCGGCTGGAATGTCTGTTTTTCTTGTTTATGGTAACTCCCCACAGACACACAGTTCTAACCTTGAGATGATTTGAAGCCAAATCATAATGTGAGAGAGCTTTATCAGTGGTTCATATTGACCTTGTGATCAACACAATGATAGTGGGACCCAAAGCGTATTCTTTGATGGCCTGGTCAAGGAGAGATCTTCTGACCCTTGCTAAACGATACTTTTAAAAGAAGCACAGAGAATAAGATTTCTATGAGTTAATTCTCAGAAAGGAACATACAGAATACCAGGGATATAGCTTAGCAGCAATGGACTTGCATGCCTGAGGCCCCAGGGGGTGATCCTGGCACCTCAAAAACAACAGCCAGCGAACCCCAATAGTGCAGCTTCCCTCAAACACAGCATAACATGGTGCATGTTAACCTGTAACACAGTGAAGCCTGAAGCATCCAACAGACCTAGCACACTTTGCTACGATCCAGACACACCACTTGTTTGGGGTACTGCCTAAGAGTTGGCAGGCACCCAGTACGAAAAGACCTCTTACAGTCTTCAGCATAGCCTGGGCACTATCTGGCCACCCAGATGCTGGCCTTTGCTCTAGTGCCTCTGTTTTAGGGGCCCTTCAATCGCTCCTCTGTCTTTATCTCAGTACTTAACCCGTGTCACAACTCCTGGTGGGGAGGTATCAAACACTTCTTTCACAGGGGTCTGTATCAGATATCCTGCATATCAGATATTTATATTAAGATTCAAAACAGTATCAAAATTATGGTTAAAAGGTAGCAATGAAAATAATTTTATGGTTGGGGGTCACCACAGCGTGAGGAACTGTATTAAAGGGTCACAGGAAAACTGAGAACCACTGGTATAAATGATTCATTGTTTTTCTTATGATCTGCTTTCCTCTAAAATACTTATTCTCCATTTCTTTCTTTTGTAAAACTATGGGACACTTCATGAATTTGTGTGTCACCTTTGTGTGGGGGCCATGCTAATCTTCTCTGTATTCTTCCAATTTTAGTGTATGAGCAAGAGCCCTGTTTCTCAAAAGTCAAGGTTGTGTTTTATTTTCTCATCCAGTGGAAATTCAGTTGGCACTTCTATAAATTATTGTGACATCATTTTATCTATATGATGAGGTTCACATGTAGTCTGATTCCAGATCTGTGCCAACAGCCCTTCTCTAAATACATTTTATCTAGGTAAAATATAATTCATGCATGAGCCATCATCAGCAACAGACAACGATGCCTTTTCACATGGTAGTCTCTTTGGGCAAATACCTAAATCACCACTGCCATATGTTAACTGATGGACCTTTCTCCCAGAGTGCCTTCTTTCTGGCCGAATTCCAAGCCTGAGTAGTGGTGGCATGTTTTTCTCATGTTCTGCACTGATCTGGACTTGGACACGGAAGTAAATTTAAATGTTCTTTGTGATGAGTATGAGATCTATGCCCAAACCCACTGTGCTGCAGACATCAAATCCTTTCCCTGTCAGTTGACATTCTTTTTCCTCTGGCCCAGGGTAACCCCTTTGAGATCCTCCTGCCTCAGCTTCCTGAATGTTGGGATTATAGGCATATGCTACCACAACCAAATAAACCCTTCTTGTCACAGTTGATCACCACAGTAGACAAGCAATGGGCTATCGATGGCCACTTGCCAAAGGCAATGATGGTGAGCATTCCATCAGTACCACCTATGTGCCCAAAGTAACTCTATCAGTTGAGTCTAGCGGTTCTCCAAAGTACTAAAATACCCCCTGTCAGGATGCTCACCAAGCCACCCCCTTCGTATCTCCCTCTCAAGAGCTTCACTGTGCTCCTGTATCAGCGCTCATCTGAATGTCTTATTCTCAGTGACATCTTCTTGAGCATCTCATCCAAAATGGTTTCACACCTTTCCTTTGTCTCTCTTTTCTTTCCATTTATTTTTGGCATTTAGGTGAAATGTCATAGTTGCCTGTTGGCTTTCATACATATTGTATTTACTGTTCACCTCAGGCAAGGGTTTCTGTATTCATTCCTCTGGTTCTGATGTCGACATGTATTTGAGACACACGTGGCAGGCTCTTCAGTCCTGCATCATGAGGGGATGGAGGAGTTAAGCTGCTGATTCATCTGTCTGCTTTTCCCTTTCTTCTCTGTGACCCCTTTCTGTGTCTTCCCTTCTAGCACAGAACCAGCAGAATTCTAACCACACCCAGGTATGTGTCCTAGTTTCCTATTTTTGGGCCAGGGTATCAAGGACAAAAACAACCTGTACAAGTTGCTGTTAGACAGGTTCTATTTTCCTTGGAGGAGGGAGTCACGTCAAGGAAAGCATTATTGTGCATTTACTAGGCAGCACGGCTCTAGCTCTAGACTGACAAATGCCTTCCAAATTACCTAAATGCACTGGAGAGTCTTATGTCAACCTGACACAAGCTGGAGTTATCTGAAAGGAGGGCATCTCAATTGAGAAAATGTCTCCATGAGATCTGACTTTGGGCCATTTTCTTAGTTAGTGCTTAATGGAGGAGAGCCCAGCCCACTGTGGGTAGGGTCATCCCTGGGCAGGTGGTCCAGGGTTCTATAAGAAGGTGGGTTGAGCAAGCCAGGGGAAGCAAGCCAGTAGGCAGCACCCTCCACGGTCTCTACATCAACTCAGGCTTCCAGGCTTCTGCCTTGTTGAGTTCCTGTTCTGACTTTCTTCGGTGATGAACAGTGATCTGGAAGTGTAAGCTGAACAAACCCTTTCCTCCCCAACTTGGTCATGGTGTTTATCATAGCAATAGTAACCTGAAGTAAAACGCTAAACTTCACGTTTTATTTTAAAGATTATTTTTATTTTATGTGTGTCTATTTTTGAATGCATGTATTTAAATTGTATCACATGCATGAAGTGCCCACAGAGTCCAGAAGAGGGTGTCAGAGACCCCTGAACTATTACAGATGGTTTTGAGCTGCCAGGTGGGTGCTGAGAACTGAACCCAGGTCCTCTGTAAGAGCAGCAAGTGCTCTTGTTCCTTCTGTCATCTTGGCAGTCCCATTCCCAAATATTTGAAGTATTTGGTTCATAAACAGGTGTCTCATTCTTTTTACCCACAGCACTTAACAATATTTATTAATATCTCTGATTTGTTGAGGGAAAATGGTGAAAACCTGGACATGGATTATATAACAGTGATGTAATCAAAAAGAAAGCTAAATCCGGACAGGTAGGGAGGGATCATTTTAAAAGGGGGCCATCGTGAAGAGGTTTAGAAGTTGCCCTCAGAAGGAGCCGCCCCATATTGAAATGCACAAATGCACTGTGAGCTAATGTTTCTGATGCGAGCTGGGCTGCAGGATAATAGCTCCCAAGCTGTCCCTTGCTGTTTGGTAATGTTAATGCCCAGGAAGTAGGTAATGATTTATAAAGTGGTGTTGGGCTGTAGTTAACAAGCTTCCTGACCGCAGTGTGGAACCTCAGGGGCTGCTCACCGCAGAGGGAAGGGGCTTTCCAAGCTTGTCTGTTTCTGTCTCATGCGGAATTCAGTTTCTAAGCTTCTGCGCCATTTCACCCCTCCCCCTGCCCCCATAGCACAGAGCCTGTGGATCAGCTTCGAGGGAACCCTGGAGAGTAGGGACAGCAATTCTTTGCTATTGGGATCTCAGCTAAATGGGGAATTGTATTTGATTTTACATTTTCATTGTAATTGTATCCCAAGCTTTGGGGTAAATGGATATGAAGAACTTATTCATGATTTATCTGAAATTCACAGTCAGCTGTGATCTTGTCTTGTGTTGGCTCTGTTAACTCTGTTCGGAGTCTGCCTTGCTCCCTGAGTCTTGGTCCACTCACATGGATGTACTGGTCCTGCTGTTCACGCTCAGCAACATGTGGAAATAACCGACCTGCCAGGCTGATGCCAGGCTTCGTACAGTCTGACGTGGGAAAAATCTGATTTTCTGAACTATGCTGAGTTGACATGTGATAAGAGCGGCACTATTTTTGTTAAAATTTTACTCTTTTAATTCGTGTGTGTGTGTGTGTGTGTGTGTGTGTGTGTGTGCATGTGTATACAGAGCCTAGAGGGCCCTGAAGTCACAGATGGCTGTGAGCCACCTGACATAGGAACTGAACTCCCGTACTCTGACAGAGCAGTTCAGACTTGTAACTGCAGGGTCATCTCTTCGGCCTGTGAGTGGCACTGTGAATGTGACTACTAAAAGAAGGAGAAGGAGAAGCAGAGGAAGAAGAAGGGGAAGGGGAAGGAAAAATTCATTCTACATTTCCACAAGGAAACCTGAGAGAACTCAAGATGGTGCTTGAGTCTTTGTTGTTTTATAGAGGACAGAATGGAAGGGGCAGAGTAGAAGTCGTTTAGGTGTTTGACCTAAGGAATCCAGGCTGCAAGCCTTAGAAACTGGAGGAAATGGGCCAGAGCCTTTGCTCATCACCGTAGAGAAGCCCACTGAGGACTTACCTCAGGGCAGATGGCCCGGAGCCACGTAGCCACTGTGGTACCTTGCTGCCAGGCTCGGCCAGGCCCAGAGCCTGGTGAGTTTGCCTCTGCTGTCCTGAATGTGAAACCTGATTGTCAGACGTCACTATCACCTGCTTATTTCCAAGCAGGGTATAGAGGCTACTGCAGTGAATATGCTGTCAGTGCTAATGCTGGCCATGTCACGTCAGCCAAAAACATATGGAGAAGAGGGACAAGTAACCCTTATCTAACACAGACAGACAGACAGACAGATAGGACAGACAGACAGACACCAATGCCCTAGAGGATCCTGGACCATCTTTCTTCAGAGGCCAGGAGGGTGTTCTTACTTTAGACATCAAGGTTTAAGCCAACAAAAAGCAGTTTGCCTTTGTTCGTTCTTTCCCTGAACTCCCAAACTTTGTTTTTTATCCAGCTTGAGAGATTTATTTATCCTAATGGGACGGTCATTTACCCCAACTGTTCATTTTCCCATGCTCCCAAGCTGCAGTTCTCAAAATATTATCCAGGGAGCCAGTGTCAGCAGCATCGGAGAACCTATCGCGAACTCACACTCCCAAGGGCCTCAGCACCCTGGACCCAGCAACAGAGGAGGTGCTGGTTTCAGCCCATGCACAGCAGCCTCGTCCACCCCAGATCCCCACCATCCTCTTTGTTCTGATAGTCGCAGACCCGCCTGTGTCTTTGCCCACTGTATCTAATTATGATTTGTGGACATTCACTAACTTAAATGACAATGTGGGAAGGAGAGACATTTACATTAATTAGATATTGTCCTCATTTAATCTATTGAGTTGTGACTGAGTGGGCACACACACAGAGGTCAGCAGTAGTGACAGGAAAGCTTGCTACTGCCACAGTAACCCCAGGAATGGGGGGGGGGCAGCACCAGGGCAGGTCAGTAGGCAGGGACAGAGCTAGAAAAGCCAGTGTCTTTAATGGGGTTTCTCTGGGAACAATGAGGCAGGAGAGGGGGGGGCTAAGCATGAACATTTCCTCTGGACTCCGGAGTTCTTGGTCCCAGAGACCTAGAATGACTTGAAGCAGGAGAAATACAGGCGCAGTGTGTTAGATAGGAGGTGGCTGAGGCCATGGTGTTGTGCTTGGCTGATGTGCCCTAGCCTTTAGTTAGCTCTAAAAGATGGTTAGCTCGAGGAGGTACAGCTTCTCTCTCATCAGCAACTTTTAAAGATGCTAAAAACATGAAGAAAAAAAAAGAACACAAGTATGTGTCCTATGTGATGACATTATCACATGTTATAAATAATGAAGGAGAGAAATTTGGAGAAACCAAGAAATGGGTCTTAAACTCATGCAGTGCAGAGTTGAAGACCAGCTTGACTTTGAAAGTCCTTACAGACAAGGGAGGTAATACCGTCTAGGTTTTCTGGTCAGTGCCATAGGAGATAGTCCAGGAGCAGCAGACTGGCAGTGATCAGGGGAACTGCTGTGTTTCTCAAGCTTGTTAACTGTTGGAAAGCCTCAGCTGCCAGTCATTCTGCCAGTGGGGGAGGGTAGTGTGGCCAGCCCCACATTTCTCACAGCCAAGTTTAAAACAATTTAAATGAAGCAG